CTCCCACTGCTGCGGCGGCGGCTTGGAATCGGGAGCCGACTGCGAATCATATCGCACGTTGCTGAAGCAGTTGGACGAGGTACCCAAGTATGGCCATCGTTCCAGGGTTCCGAGATGTCAGCGGTGCCATCAGCACCCAGAGACGCTGCTACATCGCTGCTGGACGTGCGAGGCGAAAAAAGATGGCGTGGCGCACGAACGCGCCAGTGACCATATTCCGCAGGCCGTTGCGCAGTCCGACCTGGGCCCCGCATTTCGGCTGCGAGGCATGATCCCCAGTCAGTGGGCGGGAGTGCCTGCGCCGCCCGAAGTTGAAGATTAGACATCTGCAGGGTCTAATGTGGCCTGCGCCTTAGGATTTCTAGGTCAGGGAACCCCTGTAGCCCCGCTGACCCTGTTTGGGGATGCCGGGTGGATAAGACACCTCCTCTAGGCTGTTCCGCAGGGTCGGTCTTGGGATCATGCTTGTCAAGTCCCTGGAGCCTCATGTGGATATCCATAAATGTGTCTTTGGGCAGGGTGATGCAGTCAGCGTTCCTCGTCCTCGTCCTCTTCTCCTCCTCTCTCCTTCCTCCTCCCCTGCTGGCTTGTGAGTGGCTTCGCGTCCTGGCCAGGCGGAGGAGCGGCCCTGCGGCTCCGCGGGCGCCGCCCCGCCGCCAGACGCCTCGAGATGGCGTTCGCCCGCCTCCCCTCCTTCCTCGTCCTTGTCCTGCTCCTCCTCTGCCTGTCTCCTCTTCGCTCCCCCGTGCACGTCGTCTCACTCGGCCCTGGGCGGTGGCCGCCTGGTTGGAGTTAGGTTGCACGACGCTCTGCAGGATCTCCCCCCCTCCCCCCCTCTCCACCTAATTAGTTGCTTTTCAGCGCACCGCGTGCATGAGCACTGCGTGTGGACCTGTCTGCGCCCGCTGCTGGTTGACCGTGGCCTCTGGCCACACGCCAGGCTTGCCCTGACGCCGTCACTGTCATGGTTATGCGCGGTGTTGGGCGCTTGTGCGCCCGTGTGCCCTCGTTCGAATGTCTTGTTTTAGTTGGCGAGTGTCTGCACCCAACCGCTTTCACCATCAGGCGTCTCCCTTGCAGCTTGTGGTGTTCCGTCTCCTTCCTCGCGCTCGTCCCCTTCCCGCCCCCGCCTCCGACGTGGTAGGATTCTGGGGTTGTTTCTTATCAGCCACGCCGCCGCACGGGCTTTGACTGAGTATGCAGTGTGCGTCACCCGTTATGGATTCGTTGTGTGAGGCCTCATTATATAAGCGGTCGTTTTGACCATGTGGGGATTGATGCACAGACACGGCGCCGCGGTCCGTTGTCGTTTCCTCCTTCTCGTCTTCCGCCCCTCCGCCGGGATCCCAAGTCCGGGGCCATTTCAAGTTTTTGCTTCCGTCCTTGCCGGGGAACTGTAACGATGTCGTATTCAGCAGGCCCTGTCAGAACGCTTTGGAGTAGAGGACTGGTACCATAGTGTACATAAGGCGTTCGGCTGTCGCCGAAAGTCTGGGTGGCTCCTCACCCCCAGGTCGCGTTTAAGGGGCCCTCAGCTGCTGTGTCTTCATCGGAAAAAAAATGTGTCTTTGGGCCCCTAGTTGGGCCACGACAAGTGGTGGCCCGCGGGGAGCTCCGGGCCTTCACTCTAGCTTGTTGGGCCACTCTTGGGACCATTGTATATGTTACAGATTGTGAGTCTGTCGCAGTAGGGTGGCGCAGTAGGAAGTGGCAGAGTCCAGTCGGTGAGGGCGCCGATTTGTGGGCTTCGCTCGGCGAGACCCTGCGCGTGCAGGCCCGCCGCCCCGAAGATATCACTGTCCTCTTTGTTAATTCCCATCAAAATGAGTCCGCAATTGCTAGGAATCGTTTGCAGAGGTGGCCCATCACTGGTAATTCGGTTGCCGACGTTGTTGCTAGCGTGGCAGCCCGACTGGCTCGTCTGCCCGAACACATTCGTCAGGGTGCTATGTTGTATGAGCGCCGTGCGTTCCTAGTCAGGACGAGGTTACTTCGTGCCACTCTAGATACGTTGAATGTCGAGGCCGGTGTCGTCGAGGAAAAATGGCATGTTTTGTGAAACGTCGTCGGGATCCTGCTGCTGCCTCTCTCTCCCTCTTCTCGTCCTCTTACTGTCTGGATGACACGGGGAGGGCTTGTCGTAGGTGTGGAGGGTCAACACCAAAGGCCACGACCAATCAGTTTCTTAATAGTCCGTGTTCCAGCCATTAAATTATAATGGGCATATCTCCTACAACCCCCCCACGCCCAACTTCATATTGCAAGGGGTGGGGTCGACCCATCCTACGCTTAGCAGTTCTCGTCCAAGTTTCGTTTATGGTATTGCAAAGAGTTCGGATGCCACGCCTTGCTCCGTGAATTGGGGAAGGTTTGCACCGACAGGGCCACCCCCAATAGGGCCGAGTATCTGAGTCGCATCTCGCGCGGTCTCGAGCCCAAGGTTCTGAACGCAGCCGACAAGCTCAAGAGAAGTAGAGTTTAGAGCAGTATAGTTGTGTTTCCCTGTGTATCACACGTGGGCAGGCATTGGTTAACATTGTCACACAGGAATACTCATACTCAAACTCTTCCTCCCCCTCCTCCCCCTCCTCCTCTCCTCCCCCTCCTCCTCCTCCTCCTCCTCCTCCTCACCCTCCTCCTCCTCTTCCTCCCTCCTCATCCTCATCCTTATCCTCATCCTCCCCCTCCTCCTCCTCCTCCCTCCTCCTCCTCCTCCTCCTCCTCCTCCTCCTCCTCCTCCTCACCCCTCCCAACCGGCCCGCCGAGCTTCGTGCCCTCCTCCTCCTCCTCCTCCTCCTCTTCCTCCTCCTCCTTTGTGTCCTCCCCCTCTCCCTCCTCCTCCTCCTCCTCCTCCTCCTCCTCCTCCTCCTCCTCCTCCTCCACCTCCTCCTCCTCCTCCTCCTCCTCCTCCTCCTCCTCCTCCTCCTCCTCCTCCTCCTCCTCCTCCTCCTCTCCCCCCCCTCCTACTCCTACTCCTCCTCACCGGCGGCTCAACATGTCAGGCATCCACACGGATAGACGTGGGTTCGCTTTCAGAGTGGAGCGTTCGCCTTGGGGGCGGGGCACTCTTTCCCCAAAGAGCACACGCCCTAATCACACGTACGATTTGCGGTCTTTCTTTCAGAAAGGCATTCCAGCTTGGGATTGTTTCAAGCTCCATGCCCCCAAGTTCAATGTTGTGCAACAGCCACACGGAGAGAGGATTATGTTTGTATTGGGTTCTTGCTTGGGGCGAGAAAAAATTGACTGCGAGACGCTATGCATGGATGGATTGCACATTGTTTCAAAACGGAGCTCTCGCTGGAGACATCTCTGAATGTCATGGCCCTGCCTTTTCGAATTTCTGATAAACAGAACGATGGAAGGTGGATCCTTTACAAAGCAGGCCTCTTCTGAATGGCAGACACACGCAGTTGTCAAGGGGGGGGGGGCGTCTCCCGCAGCAAAGAGGGACACATGTCAGGATTTACGACGAGGGGACTTGGGACGGGAGGGTGTATCGCAGCACCGTTGACGCATTCTATGTTTACTCTGGTCCTCCTCCTCTTACTCCTCGTCCTCCTCTTCCCCCCATCCGCGGAGGTCCCTGGCGGCTATGGAGGCCCCAAGGCGCCCAAAGCTACAAAGTTCAAGAAGCACGAAAGAAACGTATCCACCACCCCCTCCCCTCTCCTTTCCCTCCCTGCTCTTCCTCTTCTTCCCTCCTCCACCTCCTCCTCCCTCCTCTTCCTCCCCCTCCTCCTCCTCCCTCCTCTATCCTCCTCCCCCCCTTCCTCCTCCTCCTCCTCCTCCTCCTCCTCCTCCTCCTCCTCCTCCTCCTCTCCTCCCCTCCTTTTCCTCCTCCTCCTCCTCCTCCTCCTCCTCCTCCTCCTCCTCTTCCTCCTCCCTCCTCCTCCTCCTCCTCCTCCTCCTCCTCCTCCTCCTCCGCCTCCTCCTCCTCCTCGTTCTCCTCATCTCCCTCCCTCCTCTCCCTCCTCCAACGGGGATCGGCAGCCCTGGAGGGGGACCTCCGCAGCTGGTCTGGAAGGTGTGCCCGCGTGCGCAGCCCCCCCCCCGCGAGCGGCCTCGCCAGCCGCCCGACAAATCGACCCGAGCCCACTCTGAGAGACGCCGCCCCGTGGCTCAGGAGGAGGAAAGCAGCAGGGGAGGGAGGAGAGGGAGAAGGGAGAAGGGAGGGGAGAGGGAGAAGGGAGGAGAGGGAGAGGAGAATGCAGGGGAGAGGCAGGGAGGCAGGCAGGGAGAAGGCAGGGGAGAGGGAGAGGGCGGGAGAGGAGAAGGCAGCAGCAGAGGCAATCAGTGCAGGCGCGGCCAGGCCGGCGTCCCCGCGCGCCCGGGCCTCGCGGGGCGCGCTTGCTCGCGCCCGCCACTCGGGAGAACGTGGGCACACCTTCCAGTCCGCTCTGAGTCGGTCCCCGGCCTGGACCCCTCCCGGAGTCCATCCTCGTTGATCTTTCGGGGGCGGCCAAGAGGGGGGTGATGACTAGGAGGGGGTGGACATCACGGCGGGGGCCATGATAGTTCCGCAGATTTCATGGCGCCTCTTCTCATTTCAATGCGTCCCCGCTCCCCCCCCCTGGGCCGCGCACATGCCGCCGGCCATGTTTTGCGCCCCCCCTGGCCGCCCCCGATGGCCTTTCTCATCCTGGAGCAGGTTTGACAGTCCCGGGGCCAGAGCTGGGCTCCTGGTCGCCGAAATCGAAGAGCACATTGCAGCGCAATGTCTCTTGTGGATCGCCTCACCCTTCCCGTTCGGCCCCTCGTGGGCGAAAACCACATCCGTATCTGCGGCCTCGCGGGCCGGGCCCCTGAGCCGCGAGCCCGCGAATACGGGGCGTTTTTTTTTTTCGCGGATGCCCTGCGCAGAACGTATCCGTGCGCCCGCGCATCCGTGGGATCACGCCCTGGAATCCAGACCATTTGGGCGTGGATATGGTGACCTTCGCCGCTCGTCAGTTTTTGGCGTCTCCCCCCCCTTCCCGCCCGGCCCCCCTCCGCCGGAGGAGGACATGACCGTCCGCAAGGCCCTGGGCGTCCTGCTGTGCGTGTCTGGCGGCATGGGCGCCGCACTCGCTGCGCACGGCCGAGGCCCTCGGCGACGACGACGACGACGACGGCGACGACGACGACGAGCACGACGTCAACGTACACGACGGTGGCAGCGACGACGATGGTGGTGATTCTGGCCTGTGCGAAGTGACGTCGACGGGCTCGACTTGGCTGGCGCCGCCCGGCAACTCCCCCCGACGACGACGGCGGCGACGGCGTCTTCTTTCCTGATTGTTTTTCGGCGTGCCTGGTGGTTCTCGTTGCAGCGGCTCGACGCGGCTCGAAAACCCAACCAGGATGGGCTCCTCCTCCTCCTCCTCCTCCTCGTCCTCCTCCTCCTCCTCCTCCTCCTCCTCCCTGTTCCTCCTCCCTCCTCCTCCTCCTCCTCCTTCTCCTCCTCCTCCTCATCATCATCATCCTCCTCCTCCTCCTCCTTCTCCTCCCTGCTCCTCCTCCCTGCTCCTCTCTGATCCTCGCCCTCGTTTGTCCTGTTGCTGCTTCTCCACCTCCTCCTCCCATCTCCTCCTCCTCCTCCTCCTCCTCCTCCTTCTCCTCCTCATTCTCCTCCTCCTCCTCCTCCTCCTCCGTAGCCATTTTGGCTCAAGTCCCACTTGGCCCCCGTGCGGGGGCCAAAGGGGGCCTGAGCGCCGTTGCCTGTCTGGCTCCAGGCACGCCGCGGCAGCGAGGCAGCCCTCACCACCAGGCCTCCGCTGCTGGTGGCTTCTGGCATTTGAGTCGCGGTCCACTGACCGCGCACCTTCCATTTTCGACTTGGACTGGCTTTCCTCGACGGCCACCACGGGTGCTGGCCGTGGCACTCGGCGCGCTGGCAGCAGCTCTGGCTCCTCGGGTCGCAGTGACGCCACTGGTGGGGAGCGGGACGCCTCTCGCAGCGACAACCGCCAGCGGCGGCGGGGTCGGCCTGCTGCCCGTGGACGCGCCGCGCTGGCAAAGGAGAGTCGCGACCGCCTCCACGAGGGTGATCCCTGGAGCCAGGCGGCGGGCCAGGGCGGTGGACGGTGCGCTGACGAGGGGCCGCCCCTGGCTCCTGCTCGTGGGCACCCACCTGCGCATGCCGCCCCTGCTGCCACCATCACCACCACCATCATCATCATCATCATCATCATCATCATCATCATCATCATCATCATCATCATCATCATCATCATCATCATCATCATCATCACACCTGCGCAGGGCCCCTGCGCTCTGCCTGCGGCGGCGGCCCTGCCTGGTGCCGATGCATCGGCTCACCGTGCGGTTGCTGGCGTGCCCGAGAGCGTCGCGCAGGCGCTGTCGCAGATCCTCACGGACGCCACCCAGATCCTCAACGCGACGACGCCGGCGGCGCAGGCGCAGATGGCATCGCTCGTCGCCGCCCACGCCCAGGAGTGCTCGGCTCGCTTCTCGGTCATCGACTCCGACGTGGCCCGCATGCGTGAGCGGCAGGACCAGCTGGAGGTCGCCAACAAGGAGCTGCGGGCGTCGGTCCAGGCCCTCTCGGAGGCGCTGGAGCGGGCGGAGTTGCAGGTGCCCCTCTTCCAGGCTGCGCGGCAGGAGATGTGGGACAGGCCCGCGGCGCCGAACCTCTTCCAGATCCATGTGGAGAAGGGCGTCACCAGTGCGGAGGTCATCACGGGCCTGGACGAGTGGCTCCTTGCTGGCGGCGTCGCGGCTGGCCAGTACGAGCTCCACTCTTTGCCGTCAGGTGCTGGAGTTTACTGGCGGCGTGGTCGGCTATGAGCGGGCGGAGCGACTGGCAGGTCAGCTTCGCGTGCCTGGTGGCCGGAGGCAGTTCGGCGCCGGCGGCCGCAAGATGTTCATCAACGTGGACAAGTCCAAGCGCACGCTGTTGGTGGAGCTGCACACCAAGCGCCTTGCCCAGGCGCTGGCGGAGGTCATGGGCGATCCACATCGTTGGTGTGCCCCACAAGGCGAAGGCGGAGGTCAGGCTCGACCACGAGCCCGTGGCTAGTGTCTTGGTCACGGACGGGGACGCGGCGACGCAGCTGCGCTGGAACAGCGAGATGGTGGCGAAGCTTGGCACCGACAAGGCCAAGGTGCAGGAGGTCTTTGCGCGCATCGCTGGCGGGACGATGGACGTGGAGCGGTGTCCCTAACACTTGCTCGGCGCGCTGGCGCCCTTGGCAGTACCTGTGCACGGAAGCATACAACTGCCCCCATGAAGGCCATCTCTTGGAATGCGCGTGGTCTGCTCTTCGAGATCTGGTCTGTCGACGGCGTAAGCTTGCTGTTCTTCAGTCATATATGGCTAAGCAGTACGTGATCATGGTGCAGGAGACGCATGGTGCTGCGGTCCTCATCGAGTCTTTCGTGCGCTCCCAACCGCACTTGTACAATGTGTATTTCCCTGCTCTTCGTGAAGGGCGTGGTGGTGGCGTGGCTGTGCTTGTTCCTAGTTCGGATGTGCGTGAGTGGTCCTCTGTGCATCCATCGTGGCATCCGATCACCACCTACAAGGAGTTGGTTCCAGGACGTGCGCTCGTAGTTCGAGTTAATGTCGCTGTTCGTCGCCCCTGTTCTGCTCCGATGCTGGCTGCTGGGCCTGACGAATACCGCGTGGGCCTCACCTGGCTCAACATCCATAACGATGATCTCTCAGCACCTGATAGGTCGGCAGTTGCGACGGCCTGGCGTTCAGCTATGCGCGCTGCTCGTGACAACCCGATGCAGGAGCTCTGCGTCGCGGCGGGCGACTTCAATATTCCCGTGGGTGACCGCCGCCCCTATCGGAATCCGACTCCTACGGCCCTGCGCTCTCCGACTCGGGATCACCAGGCCTGGTCGTTTTGGCGCGACCTTTTCGACGGGCGCGTGGAGGCCAATGGGAAGGAGGCCACCCACTACGACGGGCACTCGGACTCGGCCTCCACGCTGGATAGGTTCTTCATCAGCTTGCCTCGAGATGCCTATCCGTGCCTGCGTGGCCTCCGCACGGTCGACGACGACCCTGCCACCTTGCCGCTTCGGCGTTTCAGCGACCATGGTGTTGTGGGACTTGTGCTGGGCCTTCGCAGGGGGCGGCCGATGGCGGAGAGGAAGGTTCCCGCCGTTCCCTTTTCGTCGCCCCCCTACCCGAGCTACTCCAAGGAAATCCATGCTGCCGAGCGCGAGCTTCTTCAAGTCCGGGGAGGTGCAGGAGAGGCTCAGGGTGAGCGGGCAGCTGCCGAGCGGGCAACCGCATCGGCGGCGAAGGCCACGCGGAACCACCTGATGGCGCTCCCCGACCTCCAGGGCCTGTCGAGCGGTGCCGAGCTGACTGAGCCCATTGACCATGCGGTCGGCAGCCCGCACTATTGGACAAATGATGTCATCACCGCGCGCATGTTGGTGAAGACGTCTGCGCTGGCGAAACGTCACCTTCGATTTCAGGATAGCCAGGTGCTTGCTACCGACCCCCTCCAGTTCGGGAGGCAGTCCGCTCCTCCACTGAGCGCGTGCCCGACGAGCGGCGCCGGGAGGCGATTCGCCGCTCTCCTCGCGCCCATGCTGCTGCGCAGGCGCAGGAGGGCGACTACTGGAAGCGGAAGCAGGGCAGCATCCTGAAGAGGGCTCAGCCGTGGCTCCGCAAGCACCCAGTCTGGCAGCTCAGCGGGGTCAGGGTGCGCGTTGTGGACGAGGCGTGGCAACCTCGAGCGCCCTCGCGCTCTTCCGATGTTACGCTGGTGGATCCTGGCGCCATGCTGCAGGCTGCGCGCGGCTTCTGGGGCCCCGTCTTCGCCGAGAAGGAGATCGGCGGTGCGAAGGCTACGGGGCACATTGAGCGGTGGTTTGCCCCTGCACGTGGCCGGGGCGATTTCTCCTTCAGCGAAGAGGGTATTATTCGTGCTGCGCGCCATGGTCGTGATTCATCACCTGGGCCAGACCGTCTACCGTATGTTGCATGGGCTCCTTCGCTTGCTGCTGTTGTTTGGCTTTACCGACTTTGCCAAGAGGCGCTCGCAGGGCCAGCCTTCCCCGACGGCTTCAACCACGGGCTGCTGGTCCCCATCCGGAAGTCGGGCGTCCCCTTTTGCGCTTCTGAGGCCGCGCGACGCCCTGGCACGCGTCGGCCATTGACGCTGCTCAACACCGACAGGAAGCTGATCGCGACGTTTGTCCACCACGAGCTCGCGGTAGTTGCGCAGAAGGAGGCGGCTGCAGTCCAGCGCGGCTTCGTGCGCGGTAGGACCTTCATCCCGAACATCATCGACCTGGACTTGATGGCCCGCGCTTTCAGCGCGCTCTGCGAGTCGGACGGCGGCCGCCCCGCGCTGCTCGCATTCGACGTGCGCGCGGCCTTCCCCAGCGTCGGCAGGCGCTGGATGATGCCGGCGCTGGATAGGTGCGGCCTGTGCGAGGCCACGCGGGCCCTGATCTCCGTCATGTGCGACAAGCAGGTGGCCTGGCTGAGGGCTGGTGAAGACTTGATGAAAGCCTTCGCGGTGACGGCTGGCGTGGGGCAAGGTTGCCCAATGTCAGGTTCTCTGTGGGCCCTCCTCTTCTCCCCGTTCCTGGAGCACCTGTCGCTCGTCCTGGACATGCCGTGGCGCTGGGAGTCCTGGCGACCTGCGCGGCCCGTCGTGCAACGCAAGGGCGACGTCCAGGGCTATGTGGGGCTCGTTATCCGCGACCTCGCCACCCTGGCCGAGGTGGACCCTGTCTTCACGGCGATGCAGAGCATGGCTTGCCTGGAGCTCAATCTGCACAAGCGCCACCTGGCCCCGCTCTGGGCGCCGATCACCGACGAGCTTCTCGTCTTCATCAAGGGTGTGTTCGAGGAGCATGTTGCTCGCTGGTCCTCTTTCATTATTTCCTCCATGGCGAAGTACCTGGGTCGCTGGCTTGAACCTGGGGCGGACCTGGACAGGCAGTGGCATGAGCCCGCTGCCAGATATGCTGCTCGAGTCCGAGCACTTGGCTACAGTGCCCTCTCCAACGATGCGGTGGCCCAGGCGTGCGACGGTCTGGCGGTGCCCTGCCTCCTGCATGTGGCCATGCTCTTCCCGCTGCCGAAAGCGACCGTGGCGAAGGAGCTGGACCTGCTGCATGTGCTGCTTTGCGCGCCGCCGAAGTCGTTCCGCAAGGATTGCTTGCTCTCGCTGGGCAGCAGCCTTCAGGCGACGGCGCCGCTGCCCCTTCATGCTGCGACGACGGCTGCGCGGTTGCGCGCCGCGCTCAAGATGCCGACCGAGTGGCACTCGCAGCTGCAGGAGGTGGAGGCCCACTTCATGGACGTGCGCGGCGCGGCGCAGATCTGTCTGGCGGACTTGCCGACGGGGCTCTTCACGCCGCGCTGGTGGCTAGATCGGCGCGGTCCTGCGCGCCACCTGCGGGACGCGCTGGAGGGTCTGGCTCCGCGCGTCAGCGGGCGCCACCGACGCCGAGCGGAGGCCTTGATGAAGGCGGCGAGGCGGCGGACGGAAGCCGCAGAGGCCGCCTAGCGCGTGGCGCCGCGGCCCGCAGGTGATCGAAGGAACAAGCGCTTCTCTTTGCAGTCCACCTTTCGCACCATCGTCACCTCCATTTCTCTTTCGCTGATCGTTTTCCGTTCACGTTTCGGAAGAGGCTGGCCGCTTGGGATGTCAGAGTTCCGCTTTTGCGAGTGTTCACCAGGCGTTGGGCCGCCCTTAAACCAGTTCTTATCGGGAGGGGGCGGGGTGATCGGTGGGCGGCGATCAAAGTCATGTGTGGTGCGTGGCCCACGATTGCACGCATGCATGTTTCGTCAGTTCGTTCTTCTCCTTGTAAATTACGTTGTGATGAAGGTGCCGACACGATGTCGCACTATCTTCGATGTAGACATTTGTGGTGGGTTGCTTGTTATCCCAGAGAATTTTGTTCTGGCTCCGTATGAATGAAGCTTCGTCTGGAATCCCCCCAGGATCACGCCTCGACCCCCGATGACAATCTCGATCGGTCGGTCTCGAGGCTTAGCCTGACGCACCAGTTGCACCGTATCATTTCGGCGCACCCTGGTTCTGGGCCACAGCATTTACGCAGGTGCTAGGAATCTGCACGCCCACGCACGGGTAGGTAGGCACGACCCCGTTCTGGAGCGATTTTCGCTCCTCCTCCTCCTCCTCCTCCTCCCCCTCCTCCTCCTCCTCCTCCTCCTCCTCCTCCTCCCCATCATCCTCCTCCTCCCCCTCCTCCCCCTCCTCCTGTTCCTTTCATCCTCCTCCTCCTCCCCCTCCTCCTTTTCCTTTCATCCTCCTCCTCCTCCTCCCCCTCCTCCTGCCCCCCCTCCTCCTCTTCCTCCCCCTCCGACGGCGACGACGACGACGTAGACGGCGACGGCGGCGGCGGCGGCGACGACGACGACCCCATCCCGGTGCAGAGTGGCCGAGGCGATGCATCCGTCGGCATCGCTGTCATCTTGGCGCAGTGCCTCAGCGGCGCCAACTACGTCGTGCAGCAGCGGCCGCTCGTGCAGCAGGGGTACTCCCCGATCATCGTGTCGGGCACCTCCTACACCATACAGGAGGCCAGAGAACGCACAGAGTGCAGGTCGGCGGCGAAATCCGAACCCGATCCTCGCCGACCCACGATTCAGGCAACTCGATGGGCGGCGGGGGTAGGTTCGGAGTTCGCCGAGCACGTGGCATCGAATGTGAATTTTGCGGTCGGCGCTCCGTGGGAGCGCGCCGGTTTCAGTCGGGCACCCCTAGACGCCATCTTGGCCAAAGGGCACAACCCACCACATGGAAATGTTTGGGGGGCGACTGAACGGCCAAGTTCAAATCGAGGATTTGGATTTTGGAATGTTTTTGGGCCTCGTTGGAAACCTGGACGGACCTGTGGAGACTATCCTCAGGCCTGCGGACATCAGACAGGGCGCTGTGAAAAGACTCATGAGCGTTTCGTGTCCAGCTTCGGGCTCCAAAGCCTTTCCCAGATCGCTGCGGCTCGAGAAATGCCGCAGAAACATTTAGTCGAGTGTTGCGGTCATGAGTGGCGATCCTTCATTTATTCGTTATTTTGCCCGTCGGCGCGTGCCTTCGCCCCCCTCCCTCCCCCCTCCTTCATGGAGTAGATCTTGGCTGTTTGGGGGCGCCTGTTTCAGGCAGGTGGAGTCCCCCCATAGGACGCACTGCTGCAAACAGCCGCACTAAGCAGGGGTCCGGAGCCAGACCCCCCCCCTCCCCCCCCTTCCGCACAATTTCGAAACGCCGAATAAGAAATCTTGACGTATTAAATGAAGTTATGGGCTTCACTTTGGCGGGTCCCAGGATCACGAAGTTCTGACGTCCGCTGGTGGTTTCTTCGCCAGTGTTGGTCCCGTATCGTCGCACCTCTGGGCGCCTCGATTCGCGCTGGGAAGGGGGACGGACAGAGCTCCAGACTGGATGCGGGTGGGACGCTGCGGCCCTCTTCCGTCTTTCGGCTCCTTTCCGTTTGAGGGGCGGGAGTTGGCACAACGTGCTACAGAGTGTTTATTATTATTTTTATTATCGTCGCCTCTTCAGTTTGCAATTACAGTGGAAATCCATGCCAAGAAACACCCTGCTTGTCTCTAGGGCGCTCTGGGTTTCTTGGATTGCGAGGGTCTTCAATGGAAAACGTGACGTCACCAGACCAAAAATCAATGGACATCCTGGGGTCTCAGGGTTGGGCTTCTTGTGGAAGGTTCCTCGTGGTCGAGCTCCCACTGTACGTGCACGTCCAGGGCCGAAAGCGCCTCACCCCATCCGGCCTGCTACCGCGGAGAGAGGGAGCCCGGCGCCGGCGCAGAAGCCGTCCGCCGAGCTCCGGCCGTGACGCTGATGCGTCTTCTCCGCCCTCCCGCCGTAGCGAGCCTGCTGACGGTCCTCGTCGGGATTGCCCACTTTGCCGCCATGGGCGAGGAGGACCGCTCCAACGTCAAGTGGTGGGACAGCTCGCCCTTCTTCGCGTGCCGCGGCCCCCCTCCGTGCGACGCTGCCGGGGCCTCCTCGGGGGAATCTTGAGCCACGTGGAAAGCGGAAGGCCCTCCGTCCTCCTCGTTGTTCTTCTCCGTCCTCCTCGTCCTGCTCCTCCGCCTCCTGCTCCTCGTCGTCCTCTTCCTCTTTCTTCCTCTTCGTCCCTCTCCCTCGTTCCTCCCTCCTTCGCCCCCTCGATCGAGGACTCTACGGGCCTTACCCCCCCCCCTCCCCCCAATCACACTAATTCTCAGTCGGGCATGTACCTCTACAGGGGGAATGTTCAAGAATGGTCAAGAAATTAAGCAGTATGGGGACAAGACGATTATTATATATGATGGTTTGCCTATATGGCGGTTTTGTTTGAGTATTGTCTATTTGTCTTCCAAAGTCCACCTGTAGGAGGACATGCCCGACTTAAGACGAATTACAATCGAAACATGTTACTGTCGCCCCCCCTTCTTAGCGAACGCGCCCCTAGACCTGTCCCGAGTGACATCCAGGAACATCCAGCCGTCTGGCCAGGACTTCGAGGGACACCCTGCCGTCGTCGCGAGGGCTCTCCAGGAGGCCGAAACAGGGTGAACAAGGTCAAGATCCCCCACTCCATCCCCCTCTCCACTCTTTGTCCTCATAAAGCACTCCCCCCTGTCGCCAACCCGAGACGTGTCGGGAGGGCGGGCCGGGCGTTGCGGTTGAGACGCCCTCACCAATAGCGATTCCGAAGCTTAAGGATGGAGGGCGGGTGGTTTTGAAAATATGGCTATCGCCTGAGCGCCGCGCACATTCGTCTGCAAAGTTTGCAAGAGTTCCAGTGACGGAGGGCGGGCCGTGTTCGACATGTGGTTCTTGCCCGAGCGCCGCGCAGGTGCTTCCAGGACGGAGGGCGGGCTGTTTTCCAAACGCGGCTCTCGCTTTGGCGCCTCGCGTACTCGTAGTTGTTTGAGCTTACACCTCAGGCGATGCTCAAGAAAACTTACATGTTCGGCCAGAGTCTCGATTATTCTTAATGTTTCAATTGAATTCCTAAGATTTTGATAGAAATTCTGGGTTTTATCAAAATTCTGAGACTATGAATTTCTTAACCCATGATTTCTTAAGCATTTCGCATGGTGTACCACCGTTTCAAGGGCTCGCACAGCTGAAACAACGCTCTGGCACGACGCGGGACAGTCGGGACGCAACAGTCGCACTGATTCGCGGCGCTGGAGTCCCACGAATGGCGTTCTGGCACGGCGCAGGATCGTCAGGACGCGGCAGTAAAGTTGATTCCCGGGGTCCGAGGGGTGTTTTGGCACGGCTGAGGATTCTCAGACGGTTGTTTGCCAACGGGGCATTTCCAGCAGTGAAAATCGATGATTGTAGGGTTTTGTGAAGAGGGAACTTGGAGGGAGGGTTTTTTGCAACATCGTTGGTGCTCCCTGGGTTTACACTGGTTGTTCTTCTCCTCCCTCCTCATTCCCCCCTCTCTCGGGCTCCTCCCTTCCCCTGGAGAGAGGTACGTGCTGGGGTTCTGCGTGCTTTTCGCCACGGTGTACAACTACGTAGTGATGGCCTGCGCCACGGGGAAGCTAGGCCACCGGGCCTATGAATACCGTAAGGAGGTCGACGACAACGAAAACGAGGACGAAGACGACGACCACCACGACCTCATCCTCCTACTCCCCATGCCCATCCTCCTCCCCACTTGGCTCCTGAGAGCTGGCCGCCAGAGTGCCTTGCGGAGCGGGCCCAATCCGTTCATGCGCCGAGCTGATGGCCCTTGGAAATCGTTCCTCCCTCTCCCCCTTCTGCTGAACTGGTCTTGTGCTGGCCGGGGCGCCCTCCAACCAAGTCGGCAGGGCCCCGGCTTCCAGAGGTCTTCCAGTTGTGGGTTGTGATGTGCCAGCAGGGGCGCCCACTGACCGAGTCGACAGCGCCCCCGCTTGTTGGGGCTGCGCTCCCCGCGGGCCGCCACACAGGTGGGAGGGGCCTCGAAGTCGACCTCCATTCGGTCACACGCGACGGCTTGCCAGGCTGCACAAGGCAGGTCACTGAGCTCTGGACCCTCAATTAGAGCAGTGGAGGGTTCAGAATAACCAGCCCGAAAGTCGAACCTTCAGTCGCTGAAAGTAGCGTCAAGCATATCAGCTTCGCTGGCTTCAAGTACAACGTTCTGCGGAAGGAGGGATCTAACAAATTCGAACTTGCTGGAACAGCGTTTGGAGCGAGGTGCCAGCCCGCAAATGTTTGACGATCTCTCTTGTTTGTTCTCTGACTCTCTCTGTCTCTCTCTCTCTCTCTTGTTTCTCTACTTCTCCTTATGTATTTACATGTATAGTATGTGTCTCTCTCTCTGTCTCTCTCTCTCTCTCTCTCTCTCTTTCTCGTTGTCTCGCTCTCTCTCTCTCTCTTTCGTTTTCTCTCTCTCTCTCTCTCTGTATACGCTGTGTAAAGGCGGTTGATCTTAGTTGCGAAACCAGAGTTTCGATGGTGAAATAAATCGCTTCATGGCGAAGTATACATTAATTAATCACTATGTAAAAGCAATACGTGAATCGCACGGAGGGTGAAATAGACATTGTGCGAAACCAGACGGTCAAAAGTTGCGTTCCCGGGATGTGTTTCCCAGCAGGCTCCCGAGAGTTCCAAGGATGTTATTGGGGCGTTCCTGCTGATGCGCAGAGTGAGGACGCTGCGCACATGCACAACGTAAGTATGCGACGCTCCTGGGATTATCCTAGAAGGCTCGTGGGATGCTCCAGTGACGCTCCCTGGGCGCTCCTACGAATGCACAGCGCAAGGACGCTGCGCAAATGCAGTGCGTAAACACTACGCAAGTTCACTATGTACGTAAACTATGTAGGTCGCGTGATGGTGGAATGAACGCTCCGTATTTGCACCACGTAGAAACACAACGTAAAAGCACGACGTACATACGCTACGATTCCGGGATTATCCTGGGATGCTCCAGGGATGTTCTTGGGGTGCTCCTGCGAATGCGCTACGTGAGGACGCTGCGAAAATACACGACGCAAACACACCATGCAAATGCACCTGGGAGGCTCCAGGGGTGCTCCTGGGAAGCTCCCTGGGCGCTCCTGCGAATGCGGCACGTGATGGGGACGCTGCGCAACTACCCTACGCCAATACGCTACGGAAGTACACCGTGTAAATATACGACGTAAGTCGGACGGAGAGTGGAACAGATATTGCGTAACAAACAAATGCATCACGCAAAGCACAAGTATTCAATCATTGCGTAACAATTAGCCTGGTGAAGGACCCAACCATATGCAGTTGTGGGTGCCGCAGTTGTGAGTATCGTCTTCGGTGGAGCTCCCTATGGGGCCTCGAAGCGTGAAAGGGGTGTGCCGAAATTGAGGGTGGAAACGCATGCGAGTTCTGCCACTGGGGCCTTCTGTGGAGCCCCCCATGAGGTCACGAAACGTGTGAAGGGTGTGCCGAAGTGAGGGTTGAACCGCATGCGAACCCTGCCATTGGGGCCTTCGGTGGAGCTTTCTACAGTGCCATGAAACGTGCGAGGGCACGCCGAAATCAGGGGTGGAACCGCATGCGAACCCTGCCACTGCGGTCTTCGGTGGAGCTCCGCATGGGGCCACGAAACGTGTGAGGGGTGTGCCGAAATGAGGGTTGAACCGCATGCGAACCCTGCCACTGGGGCCTTCGGTGGAGCTTTCTATAGTGCCATGAAACGTGTGAGGGGATGCCCAAATGGAGCGTTGAACCGCATGCGAGTTCTGCCACTGGGGCCTTCTGTGGAGCTCCCTATGAAGTCACGACACGTGTGAGGGGCATGCCGAAATCAGAGGTGGAACCGCATGCGAACCCTGCCACTGGGGCCTTCGCGGAGCTCCCTGTGGGCCACAAAACGTGCGAGGTGTGTGCTGAAATGGGGGTGGAACCGCATGCGAATCCTGCCACTGGGGCCTTCGGTGGAACTGTGTATAGGGCCACGGAGCGTATGAGGGATGAGCCGAGATTGGTGGTGGAACCGCATGCGAACCCTGCCACTGGGGCCTTCCGTGGAGCTCCCCGTGGGCTACAGAACGTGTGAGGAGTGTGCCGGAATGGAGGGTGAAACCATATGCGAACCCTGCCATTGTTGCCTTCCGTGGAGCTCCCTATGGGGCCATAGAACGTGTAAGGGGTGTGCCGACATGGGGGTGGAACCGCATGCGAACCCTGCCGCGGGGGCCTTCGGTGGAGCTCCTTGTGGGGCCACGAAGCGTGTGAGGGGCGCAAGGGGTGAGAGGAGTGGGAGGAGGGGGATTGGGGAGGAGGAGGAGAGGAGAGAAGAGAAGGGACGCGGGGCGTTGTCTCTTCAAAACGAGGACCCCAAACCACAGGATGGTTGGAAAAAACGCTACGTGCATCCACTACGCTACTAGGATTATTCAGGAAGTTCCTGAGATGTTCCCGGGGTGTTCTTAGGATGATCTTGGGATGTTTTTGAGGTGGTTTGGGGATGTTCTTGGGATGCTCCTGGGGTGCCCCTAGGAAGTTCGCGGGGTGTTTCTAGGATGCTCATGGGATGTTCATGAGATGATCCTGGGGCGCCCCATACAGTACGTAAACGCACTACGCACATACACGATGTAAATACATTACGTGAATCGCGTGGGGGTGGAAGAGACACTATGCAAACTAATTTCGCACGTGCACGACACTCCTGGGACTCTCCCGGAAGTCTCCTGGGATGCTCCAGAGATGTTGTTATTGGGGCGTTCCTGCGAATGTGCAGCGTGCGGACGTTGCACCAATCCATTTCGCAAGTACACTACGCAAGTTTATGATGCAAATGTTGCACGTATAACGCACGGAGGGTGAATTAGGCAATATTGAAATAGGCAATATGTAAATTATGTACGTCAGCGCTCTGCGTAGAACATGACGTTGAACACACTACGCTTGAACATTACGTAAAGATTGCGCTCCTGGGGTTTTCCCAGGCGGCTCCTGGGATGCTCCAGGGATGTTCCAGGGCGTTCCTGCAAATGCGAGACGAGGGGACGCTGCGCAAATACACGACGCAAACACACTCTGCCCTGGGATGCTCCAGGGGTTTTCCATGGACGCTCCCTGGGCGTTCCTGCGAATGTGCTACGTGGGGACGCTGCCCAAATCCGCAGCTCAAATACATTGCGTACGCAAATGCATTACGTAAGTACACGACGTAAGTCGCATGGGAGGAATAGAACCTACGTAACAAAAACGTTGAATGCACTACGTGAACACGCGAGTTGAAACACTACGTATATAAACGACGCTCCTGGGAATATCTTGGAAGGCTCCTGGGATGTTCCCGGGGTGTTCCTAGGATGGTCTTGGGTTGCCCATGGGGTGTTTTGAGGAGGCTCCTAGGATGCTCCTGGGGTGTTCCTAGGAAGATCGTGGGGTGCTCCCAGGATGCTCCTGGGATGTTCCTAGGATGCTCCTGGGATGCTCCTGGGGCGCTCCTGCGAATGCGCAGCGTGGAGACGCTGCGCAAGTAAATGTCACGTAAACGCGCTACGCACGTACACTAAGCAGTACACCACGTAAGTCGTTGTGGGTGGAAAAGGTACTACGTAGTTTCACTACGTAAACGCGCGCGGAGATACCTTATTTGCCACCTGTATAGTTCACTGTGTTGGTAATGTGGCTGCGGGACTCTGTGAATGCGTGCCTGTGTGTGGGTGTCTGTGCCTGAGCGCCAAGGAGCAGCCTCCTCCTTCGTCCTCTTCCTCCTCCTGCCCCACCCCTCCCCCTCCGTCCTCCGCCTCTTCCCTCGTCTCTCCTCCTTCCTCCTCCCGATCTCCTCCCTCCTCACCCTCCTCTTCCTTCATCCGCCCCCCCTCCCACGCCATCCTCCTCCTCCTCCTCCTCCTCCTCTTCCTCCTTCTCCTCATCATCCTCCTTCTCCTCCTCCCCTTCTTCTCCTCCTCCTCCTCCTCCTCCTCCTCCTCCTCCTCCTCCTCCTCCTCCTCCTCCTCCTCCTCCTCCTCCTCCTCTTCCTCTTCCTCCTTCTCCTCATCATTCTCCTTCTCCTCCTCCTCCTCCTCCTCCTCCCCCTCCTCCCAGCGCCTCGCTCGAGACTTCCTGGCCATCTGTTCTGAAAGTGCCGAAGTCCAAGCCACCAAACAGGCAAACCTCCTGAGACATCCCCGCAATCTGGCCGCGAACGGGGCCGTGCAAACACCCTGGCGGCTCCCTTGTGGGAGTGCTGAAACCAGCGCCTCGCTCGAGTCATCCTCACAATCTGCTTTGAAAGTGCCGGAGCCTAAGCCACCAAACAGGCAAACCGCATGAGGCATCCCCACAATGTGGCCGCGAACGGGCCCGTGCCAGCACCTTGGCGCCCCCCGCCGCCCCTTTATAGGAGTGCTGAACCCAGCGCTTCGCTCAAGGCATCACAATCGGATCTGAAAGCACCGAAGTCTAAGCCACCAAACAGGAAAACCGTTTGAGGCATCCCCACAGGTCAGCCGCGAACGGGCCCGTGCCAACACCCTGGCGGCTCCCCGTTGGGAGTGTTGACACCAGTGCCTCGGTCTTGGCATCCTCACAACCTGATCTGAAAGCATCGAAATCCA